GTTGAGACTTCATTGATCTTCCTAATGTTTCCATCTCTTTGTGCACAATTCTCTCGATTACCAAATTGTTATGTGTTGGCGGCCATGCTCTCGATCAAAGTCCAAGCATTGGTGGGAGTCTTGTCGATGAAAGCCCCTCCACTTGCAGAATCTATGGAAGATCTATCAAATGGAAGTAAACCTTCATAGAAATACTGAATAAGCAATTGTTGAGGAATTTGATGATTTGGACAACTTGAGCACAACCTCTTGAAACGTTCCCAAAACTCGTACATAGTCTCGCCTTGGGATTGCTTAATTCCACTTATCTCCTTTCGAATGCTTGAGGCTTTATGAACAGGAAAGAATTTTTCCAAAAACAATTTCTTAAGGCTCGTCCAAGAAGTGATTGAACCACTAGGCATGTAGTCCAACCAATCCTTTGCACGATCCATAAGGGTAAAAGGAAAAGTTCTAAGTTTAAATTGCTCCTCAGAGATACCTTGCATCTTCATGGATGAACAAACAATTTGAAAATCTGTGAGATGTCGGTGTGGATCTTCTCCAGGCATACCATGAAATTTTGGCAATAATTGAATGAATCCAGACTTGATCTCAAAATTTTCTTCATTGGTTGGGTATTGAATTGCTAAGCGCTGTGTAGTCACATTTGGGACAGCAAGTTCCCTCAAAGTCCTATTGTTGTTGTTTTCTTCGGCCATGTTTTCCCTTGGGGGTTGTGATTCCAAACTTGAAGAAGAAGTGGTGGATCGTGGAGAGCTAGCTTGAGAACTTGGTGTTGACGAATCTCCTCCTTCATGCTCAGAATTGAATTCTAAGTCCTTGGTACCACTACTCCTTGTATTTGGCATACAACACCTAGAAAGAACTTAAACAAAGAATCCAACAATAACAAGTAACTTGAAAAATAAAAAGTAAAGAAAAATTAACTAAACTAAAAATTGAAAAGAAAAATAACGAAAAATATAAAAGATAAAGGTAAGAAATTCTTAAGTAATAATTTGCCTTCAATTACGTAACCTTCCCCGGCAACGGCGCCAAAATTGTGATCGGTCGTTGATCAAATCACAAGATAAATTCCCCACAAACCAATTAACAAATAGATAAACTACTTAGCTAGGGCAAGTAGGGGTCGAATCCACAGGGAAGGTACGAATCAAAGTTAAATCTTACAAAAGAAAATCTAACCTAGAAAAGATATTTTTGGGTTTTTCAATTTATAAAATTAGATTAGAAAGAAATCTAAATTAAATAACTATAAAAAAGAGTTTAAGAGAAAAACAATGAATAAAAACATACTTCTTTTCCATTAGGTAACTACTTTGATCAAGTGAATCATGGATCATGGACACTAAACATAAATTTGGCTTAGATTGCAATCAATTAAGAATCATAAATTACTCCAAATCGGTATATAGCCTAAGACGTAGACATCAACTTTCATTGAAACAAAGTAATCCTCTTAACATCTTAAACAACTCCATTTGAATAATTGGAATAGGAACAGACGTAATGCTAATTCTAACATGCTATGAAAATTAATTCGCATCTCGCTATGAAAATTAATTCTAACATGCTATGAATAACTAATAGTGAAAATTAATTCTAACATGCTATGAAAATTAATTCGCAACAAATGCAATGGGGTTAAAGGATTAAAGCCATACACAATCTCAAAAGATGAATAACTAGTAGTGCTATGTATGCTTCTATTGTATGCAAACTCAACATGAGGTAGACAATCCTCTCAAGTTCTTAAGTTCTTTTTAATTGATCGAGCCAAAAACAACCCTATTTTTATGGCTATTTTATTATGATTTTGGATCTATTTATGCTCTAATTTGCTTTATTTTGGTGATATTTGTGTTTTTAATCTTTATGAGATGAGAAATTGGAAATTGTTAATTTTCACTACTTTTGGAGCTATTTTGATGACTTTTTACACAGATATGAGCAAAGTAATTTTGAGTATAGATTTGGAGATGCGAAGTTCGTGCTTTGAAGATTTCTTGAAGATAATTTGAAGATTTGAAGATCATTGAAGAATTATTTCAAGGAGTAAGAATTGAAGATTGGAGCTTATTTGCAAAGGATTGAAGCCAAGCCCAGAAGAAGCCAGGAAGTTAAGGATTTTTGGATAATTTATATGGGATTATATTAAGTCCATATAAGTCCATAATTGGAATTAAAATCTCAATTTATAGGCTTAATATCCAAGGGAATATCCAAATCCCGTAATTTTCCGTAACTAGTCCTATTTGGAGTAGGAAATGACGCAGTCTCGGTAGAAAGGCCATAACTTTCTGCTCAGATGTCCGTTTTAAGCCCATGAGTACTAGTTGGAAAGCTAACTCTGAGATCTACAACTTTCCTTTGAAGTCTGAAGCCCAATTCTGCTGCTTTTAAACCCAAATCTCAAGTCGAAGTTTCTGCAGAAATCCAGAAAATTCCAGAATCCTATTTTGACTTGGATTCTACTCTAAGAAGACATCTAATCCAACTTGGAGTCTACGTCAGCCCTAAACCACCCTAACTATATTCTTCCACTATAAATAGCCACCTTAGGTCTAGATTTTGAGTGTAATTTTTATTCTCATAAGATATACAAGACACAGGGCACTCACTACGTGAGTGGTTTATAACAGTTTTTTTTTCAATAGGTAGTTTCTTTAAAATGATATAAATAAATTTAAATATTATATTTATCTTATAATGGGTAGTGTTTTTCTAAAATTGGTATAATGGGTAGTTTTTATCTAAAATGGGTAGTTTTTATTTTATTTTGAATTTTTAAAAACTGAGTTTGTCTCCGAGTCAACTCGTGAGACAAACTCAGGTTTTGGCATTATAATTAGTATAGATTGTTTAGTTGAAGATTTGGAGGAGAAAAACCTAGGAGCCGCCGCCCCCTTCTCTTCCTCATCCATAGATAAGTTCTCTTCTTCTTATTTGTGGATGTTCACTCAATTTATGAGTGAGTAATCCTTTTCTTTTCTCCAATGTAGAATTTAATTGATCTCTTGACTATTATCATGGTGAGATTTTGTGCTTATATATGAGAATTGTTTAGGGTATTTCTTAGATCTCTGTTTTAATCCTATGTTGCTTGTTTTGATGGGTTGGAGTCGACAATGCCTTGATAAATTAGGTTAACATTACCTAGATTAGATCTAGAATTAGAACCTCAGATTTAATTATATGTAGCAATTGGATGAGAGTTAGACCTCCTTCCAAGAGAGATAAGAATCAATGGGTAAAAAATTGCTTGTTGTGCTTGTTTATAAATTACTTGAACTTAATGCTTTATTCCTAAACAATCTTTAAGCCCTAGAACGGTAAGCGATTGTTGAAAGAGTAAAAGGGGTAGATTAAGCCCTAGAACGGTAAATTTATCTAATTGAGGTTATTTAAGATTTAAATCACCAAGCTATCTAAGGTTTTCATAATTATTAGATATCAATGATCCATGTTATTTATGTCAAGAGGGAGATTAATTCTATGTTGGAGGGTTTTCTTTAATTGTTTTTCTCAATTTATTCTCTGCTTTGTAATTAATTGTTTTCTTTAATTTTCTTGATTGCTTTCTTAGTTAATTTTCTAGTTTGTTAGATTCAATTTTAAACTCTTTTCCAAAATTCTCTATTTTATTTTGTTTTAAGAAAAAGAATAATAACCAATTTCTCTGTGGGTTCACCCCTACTTGCCCTAGCTATTCTTAGTTAGTAATTGTTGGCATATTTATTTTATGGTCATTGACGACACGATCATTAATCAATGCCCTAAGCAAGGTTGACAAAGTCCTATTAACTACTTCAGTTTGGGCATCGGATTGAGGATGACAAGTAGTTGAAAATAACAACTTAGTACCTAACTTAGCCCATAAAGTTCTCCAAAAGTGACTTAAGAACTTAGCATCTCTATCACTAACAATTGTCCTAGGCATTCCTATTAACTACTTCAGTTTGGGCATCGGATGTGTGTCCATGGTTCAAGAGGAATAGGCAAAGGAGTGTACAATCCATGAGGTTAAGATGTAGATTTAGCTTGCAAACAAACAATGCAACTAGAAACATACTTCCCTACATCATATCGCATCTTAGGCCAAAAGAAGTGTTCATGCAATATCTCATATGTTCTATCAACTCCAAAGTGACCCATTAAACCCCCTTCATGCGATTCTGATACGAATCTAGTTGCAAATCGGTTCAAATCCACCTTTGAGATTTGTATGTCGACAATCTTCACTAGTTATAAGGAACTCAAATCTGAAATTTCAAAGCAAAAAGAGTTAATTTGAATCGGCTATAAATTTTCAAAGTTTCTGAATTTTTGAATTTTTCATGAAGGTGGTACGATGAGTGTGTAATTGAATTTTGATGGATGAAAACTTGATGAATGATGAATAGAAGGATAGATTTGCCGATTGAAGAGGACAACCTATGCTCTGATTACCAATTGATACGAATCTAGTTGCAAATCGGTTCAAATCCACCTTTGAGACCTGCTAAAGATCAACTTGAATCACCAATTCTAGACTTGTATGTCGACAATCTTCACTAGATAAACCCTCCTTCGTTCGTCGGTCTTAGACCCTCAACTAGACCTGCAATTGAACACCTAAGATCATAAGATTCACAAACAATTAAGCAATCACAACCTAATTGTTTGCTAGGACTCTACAAGATTGAAGAACCCTAAGTTTGCTCAAACTAGAACAATGAAGCTAAGATAATCAATTTGGGAAAATAATCCTCAGCTTTATTAATCAACTCAACTTCTCTTTACAAGAGGGGGTTGGTCTCTTTATATAGTGATAGGGTCAACCAAAATCCTAAAAATAAGACCTAAATTTCGTCCAAATATAAGGGCCATGGAAAAACTAGTTCAAGCCCAACTAGGAAAAGGAAATAAAAGCATAATTAAACAAGGATTGAACTTAGTCAAACAAGGCTCAACCCAGATAACATCCAAACTTAAAAATAAGCTAATCTAAGATAGAATTAAGCCCAAACAAAGATAACTAATGATAATGGGCTCATGCCATGATGTGAATCCGGCCATCTAGAATCAATAGCAAGCAAAGTGATGAACTTGTAATTGATTTGTAATTTCTTGCCCAAATCATCACCAAAGTTCTTCAATTGAAATTCAATGGTCTTCAAGTCTTCAAGATGAGTTTGAACAAGGCCCATGAGTGCATCCTTGAATCTCTTAGCTCTTGCTCTTGTCATCGGACTAATAGGCATCTTCAATGGATTGAATGGCATCTTCTTGGTGCTTGAAACATTATTATCGATATCTCTATAGTCTCCATGCATCTTCATGCTTTCTTGCAGCCCTTGCACATCCATTCCTTGCTCTCTATAGCCATCTTCAAGTCCATAATAAGTCCTTGGCGCATCATTCTCTCCATGATAAGCCTTGGGCGCATCAGTTTCCCTCACAAACACATAATGCAAAGAGCAAGAAGGCACACACAATCTAGATTCTTTAAACAAAAGTACATCATGCTTATAATACTTTCCAAATCCAGAATTTTCACATGTTTTAAAGATTTCACCAAAGTAAACATCACTAGCATACAATTCCTTAGTAAACTCAAATCCAAGAAACTTAGAATCAAGCTTGAAAAGTAAGACATACCTCCCTGATAAAGCATCGGCTACAACATTCTTCTTACCTTGTTTGTAGCGCACCACATAAGGAAAGCTCTCAATGAACTCACTCCACTTAGCATGTCGTTTGTTCAACTTTTGTTGGCCTCTCAAGTACTTCAAGCTTTCATGACCCGTGTGAATCACAAACTCTTTAGGCCAAAGATAGTGTTGCCATGTTTGTAATGCTCTCAAAAAGCGTACAACTCTTTGCCATAGGTTGAATAATTCAATGCAGCTCCATTCAATTTTTCACTAAAATAGGCTATGGGCTTCCCCCTTGCATTAATTCAGCTCCAATTCCAACCCCTGATGCATCACATTCAATCTCAAAAGTATTGTTAAAGTTAGGTAAAACAAGCAAAGGAGCATTAGTTAGTTTTTCCTTCAAAGTCTCAAATGCTTCTTGTTGTTCTTTCCCCCACTTGAATGGTGTTGTCTTCTTCATCACACTCGTAATAAGTGCTGCAAGGTGCTAAAGTCCTTAACAAACCTCCTATAGAATCCGGCTAAGCCATGAAAAGATCTCACTTGACCAACGTTGGTGGGAGTTGGCCAATCTTTGATAGCTTTGCTCTTCTCCTCATCTACTTCTATACCTTGCGCAGAGTCCATAAAACCAAGAAAAACAAGCTTGTTTGTGCAAAAGGTGCACTTCTTAAGGTTAGCATACAATTTTTCAACCCTAAGTACATCTAACACACAACACAAGTGCTCAATATGATCCTCTAGGTTTCGGCTATACACAAGTATATCATCAAAATAAACAACAACAAACTTGCCAATATAAGCTCTCAAAACATGATTCATTAGCCTCATGAAAGTACTAGGTGCATTAGTCAATCCAAAAGGCATAACTAACCATTCATACAACCCTAGCTTAGTTTTAGAAGTTTTCCATTCAGCACCCTCTTTCATGCGAATTTGATGATATCCACTCTTAAGATCAATCTTAGAAAATAAGCAAGCACCATGCAATTCATCAAGCATATCATCTAATTTAGGAATAGGGTGACGATACTTAACTGTTATGTTGTTTATTGCCCTACAATCAACACACATCCTCCAAGTTCCATCCTTTTTAGGAACAAGCAAAACAGGAACTGCACATGGAGAAAGGCTCTCACGCACAAAACCCTTTTGAAGTAGCTCTCCAACTTGCTTCTCCAATTCCTTTGTTTCTTCAGGATTTATCCTATAAGTTGGCTTATTAGGTATTTGCGCTCCAGGGATGAAGTCAATTTGATGTCCAAACCCTCTAATCGGTGGTAAACCACTAGGAATTTCCTCAGGAAAGACATCTACATAATCACTCAAAAGAGAAACAATGTTGCTTGGAAGATCTTTTTCCAAGTGGTTAGTGCTCACAAGTGGTTTTTTAAGCAAAAGCAAGATCAAAACAGAATTATCATTCAAAGCATCTTTAATCTCACTCTTAGTAGCTAACATACACTCCTTAACAACTTTCTTACAACTAGCATGCTTATCAATAAAAACAGATTTACTTTCAACGCAACACATACTAGAACTATCACTCTTTGCCTTCTCTTTAACCCTAAATTGCAATTCCAATCTTGCAAATTCATCTCTCACTTTTAATTGATCTTTTAAAGCTTCTTGAGGTGATAAAAGAATTAAAGTAATAGGGTGCTTACCACACATAAAAGAGTACTTATTTGTCTCACCATCATGATGCACCTTGTTGTCATATTGTGATGGTCGACCAAGCAGCACATCCTCCTTGTACCTGCCCCAAGAAAGAGAAACTAAATCTTGTTTGTTAACCCTAATCTCCTCTCTATCATTGAACCATCCTAAATGGCTAAATAACCAATTCAGGATATAACGTTTGCCGCACCGATCAATTTGTGATATAACATTTGAGAAGGATCATTTCAGGATATAACGTTACCAAATAGGATCAAATTAGGATATTTTCAAACGGACTCCAGAATTTGAATTTCACGCGCCGCGAAATCGCGTATAGTTAGGAAAAATAAGACACCGTGTAATTTTTTTTTAGTGAGATGGAAAAAGAAAAAGTTATTTAAAATAAAAAAAGGAAAAAAAATTGGCCTAAGAGATGACGATTGCAGGGCCAACGTAAAGGACTAGCTCTGTCAATGGTGACAAACACTTCGGCTCCGACCATGCCCCCAATTCCCAAGCCAATCAGGTCGAACCAATGGAGAGTCCTCTGCATGTGGGAACCGGAGCGGCCTCTCGCACGGCTCAATTCTTCATAGGAGGAAGAAACAGAGGCTGCTCGGCAAGCCAGGCGCGATGGGGTACGAACTAGCCCCCCAAGTTAAGATTAGAAGCTAGATAAAGTGGAAGCAGAGGTTTCCATTAGAGCAGAGACGGGGTTGCCAATGCCAATTATTTGGTGATTTTATTTCATTTTGATAGAGAAAAAGGGGAGTTAAGTCTGATTTCTTTAAGCATTTGACAGAAACGCCTAATATTTCTGGTAAGGAAATGAAAGGGAATTTTTTCCTTAGTTCAGTAAAAAAAGATGAAGGCAAATATGAAGGGGATTTCAAGCTTCATGTTGTCTTGCCAAAAACGCTTAATATTTCTGGGAAGATTGATGGGTTTTGATTGGATTTTTTTTAGGATTTTGGTTTGGGGGTTCTGGGTTGTAGAGGAATTGTATCCATGGAAATAACAATAGAATTAACATTTGTGAGGAGTAGATGGGTGGTGGGCGGCTGAAAGGAATGGAAGGAAAAAAAATTAATATAGCTTTTTTTACATCAAAAAAATTAATAGCTTAGGTTGGTTATTTTTTTATTTATTAATTAATTTCTTTTATTTATTTTATTTTGTTATTTTTTTAAATAATTTTTTATTTTCTTAAAATCTACTTGGCGTCCACGTGGTGCCCACGTGGCGCCCACATCATCACTTCACTGCGCGTGCAATTTAAACCTTGGAATCCGTCTGAAAATATCCTGATTTGATCGGATTGTATAACGTTATATCCTGAATTGATTGTTCTGAAACGTTATATCCCAAATTGATCGGCTCGGCAAACGTTATATCCTGAATTGGTTATTTAGCCCATCCTAAACTATAAGGTTTAGGGTGTTTGGTAGTGGGCAATGACAACTCCTTCACCAAATACACATGATCAGACCAAAATGTGACATGTTTTTATGGTCATTTTCCTATGTTTTTAGGAGGATTTATGCTTAATTTTGGTTGATTATGTCTCAATTTCTTAATATTTGTGATTTTAGGTCGTGAAGGCAAGCAAAGTGGAAAAGTACTATTTTTCCTAATTTTTGGAGCTATTTTGATAGAATTTTGACATAATGATTCAAGTGGAATTTTCATGAAGATTTTTGAGATTTTATATTCTTGATTGAAGACTCTTTGAAGCTCATTTTATGCTTGAAGAAGCCATGAAGATCAATGCTACAAGTTTCCAAGGTGATTGAAGATCAAGAACATAAGTTAAGTGAAGAAAGATGCAACTTGCTGACGAGCTCTCCAGATGACCTGGGCGGCTAAGTTATTAATCTGGGTGGCTAGGCATTTCATCTGGGTGCCCATGGACAGTCGGGTCTGCCAAATCCAGCACAAGTTGGTGTCTTCCTCTTGAAACTTCTCCAATTGATTTCGATTTCAGTGACACTTTGGGAGAAAATTCATAACTTTCTCTACAGAGGTCCAAATTCGATGATTCAAGATGCGTTGGAAAGTTAACTCCAATATCTACAACTTTGCAGCAGACCTCGAAGTCCAGTTTTGCCGTTAAGATGGTCAAAATTGCCCCTGAAGATTGCGGACTGTTGCTGTCTTGGGCCAGATTTCGGGTTTCCTCTATTTTCAGCCCATTAAAGCCGTTGGATTTCACTTGATGACCAAGTAATCAGCCCAGCACACCCTTAAGAGTCCTAGGTCGGTTTTAACTCTAATTCTAACCCTAGGAACCTCCTATAAATACCCACCTTAAGTTATAGAAAAACCTAAGCTACCTAATCATTAGTTTTTCTAGGTTTTAGTTTTTTTCTCTTTTCTTTGTGGCAGCCGCCCATTGGAGGGGAATTTTCTATAATTTCTTCTTTTCTTTATTTTTCCCTCATGGATTCTCTTTAATTCATGAGAAGCTAGTTCTCTTAATACTTTCAATCCTTTGGAGATTTTAATCAATTGATATGGGGAGATTCTGCACTTATAATTTGCTATGATTTTCTCTTTTGAATAGCATATTAATTCCTATTATCATGATTAAGATTATGAGTTTTATTGCTTTAAGTGGCCACTATTGTCAATAAAAAGATTAGTCTATTGTTTTTATTAGGTTGGAACTTAATTGGTATGCCTAATAATTGATACAAATTGATCACCAATAATATTGGGATCAATGGAATCAATAAGCCTTATTGAAAACCAAGGCGTGATAGTTTGGTTGATATAGGTTTGATTCTATAATTGTTCTTAATGCTTTATTCATGTTTCTGAGGCGTGATAGTACGGATGCATGAATAATAGGGTTAATCTTTGTGCCTGGCGGAGTGAGATTAACTATTTACCATGTTAAGGAAACTTAGGTCAATTAGGTTATTGAATGAATCTTGCTTGATATTTTACCTCTATTTATAGAGTGGCGTAAAATTGGTTCTTGCCTAATTCAATAATTTTGTTGTACTAAATTTATCTTTCATATCAATGATCCATATCTCCTATTGATTAATTTCTACCATTGGAAGGAAAGTATGCTTTTTAGTTAATTGTTTTCTTAATTAGTATTTTAGTTTAGTTTAATTTAGTTTCTGCCTTACTTTTATTTAATTGCTTTTTAATTGTGAATTCTAATCACCAATTTTCTTAAGTGTTTCCAAGTATTTTGTTTTCAATATTCGTTTCATCCTTCTCTGTGGGTTCGACCCCTGCTTACCCTAACTACCTAGTTAGATTTTGTGGGGATTTATTTTGTGTGTCGTTGACGACTGATCACAATTTTGGCGCTGTTGCCGGGGAAGGAAAGAAACAACAAAGAAGTTGAAGACAAAGACACGCCAACACCTATGAAAGATCCAATGGAACAATCACGTACCTTGAGAGATTTGATTTTCTCCTTTGAAATCAAACCTCTTTGTATTGATTATCCAGAGATGGACATGTCATACAAATTGAAAGCAGGAGTGACCCGTATGCTACCTATTTTTCATGGGGAAGGTCATGAGAATTCGCACGAGCATTTGCAAATTTTCTGCACCAGATGCCTTTTTATCACTGGAATGCCTGAAGAACAAGTGAAGTTGCGAGCCTTTCCCTCTACTTTGGAAGGAAAAGCGCAACAATGGTTTTGGAGTATCCCTCCAAAATCCATCACTTCATGGAAGGATCTACAAAGAGCATTCTTGAACAAGTATTTGCCAGAGACAAAACGCGCTGATGTTAAACAGAAGATTTACGCTTGTCGACAATTACCTCATGAGAAGTGGTACCACTATTGGGAGAGATACAACAAGATCTGCGAGAGCTGCCCATACCATAATCTAACTGAAGAACACTTGATTTGGCAATTTTATGGAGGACTGCTTTATGAAGATCGAATTTATATCGATTCCACTAGTGGAGGAAGTTTGACATACAAGACCCCTGAAGAAGCTAGAAAATTACTGAATATTATGGCAGAGAATGTCTATCAATTTAACATGGAAGAAGGATACTCGTCACCTAAACCAATGGAGCAAAAATCCTTTGGTGAAGTGAAGGAGAGCATCAACCACATAGGCTCAATGTTGACATCTCTAGCCACTGTATTCACCAGTTTCATCTCAAGCGAAATGACAAACCAGAGATCATACCAACCTGTTCACACCTCTTTGAACTTGCCTCAAGGAAGTATGAATGGAATGAAGTATGGGAATGGGATGTACAACGCACAAGGTCTTGAAGTCAATTCAACTGGAGTGGAAGAAAATCAACAATGGTATGCAAGGAAGAAGGAGTCATCAACAATTCATTCTTCAGTGCCACCACTTCTTGTTTCTCCTACACCTCCAATGACACCACCACGAGTCTCTTCACTTCATGTGCAAATGCCGAGAGATGATAACACCATTGTCGAAAGAGTAGTGGAAGAACCTCCACCCTATCCGCAAAGGTTGATATCACGACAAAGGAGATATAGTGAAGATGATCAACTCAATTCGCTCTGCAAATTAGAGGAAAACATTCCTATAGTTTCTGCAATTGAGAAGGTTTCCAAAATTGGGCAAGAAGAACAGGAAGCACCAATGCAATTGACATAAGCTCAAGATCAAATAACAAATTGCGAACAGTTTCCAGATGAGCACTTGCACCAATTTTGGGAGAGATTCAACAAATTATGCGATAGCTATCCAAACCATGGGCTTTCTGAGGAAATCCTAATTGGATGTTTCTATTCAGGTCTAGAACCTGTTGGTACAGACTTGATAGAGAAAGCTAGTGGTGGAAGTTATATACATAGTGGATTTTTCTTTTTGAAAAATCTTAAGGAGTAAAGGGATATAATTGAAGAAGACGTAGCCAAGAGCGCACAAAGATACCATGGGTCAAAGATCGACGCAACAACATCATGGGAAGAACCTACTCATTCTGAACCAAGTAAGATGGAAGGTGAATTTCATGAAGTTGCTGAAGTTACAATAATGAAGGAAGTTGAAGAGGTGTCAAGCGAAATAATAGATGATTTGGAATCACATGAGCTTAATGCGCAAGACTCCACTCAATTTTCCTCCAATGATGAAGATGATGCCCCATGCATAGTATACATCACTACTCTACCAAAGGAGGCTCCCAAGATTGTACAAGAAGAAAGAGAAGCACATCAAGAAGACATTGAGATGGATATTCCTCTACTTTCTCCTCCACGACTTGTAAAGAGCAAGGATCATGTTGATAACCAACTTTTGGAACCTGCAGATCCAGATTTAGTGGGAATCAACAAATTTCTTGAAGATTGATGCAAGGGAGGGGTCGAATGGATACCCATTGATCAATTCTTTTTGAAGGATGAGGAAATTAGCTAAGACGTGCACACTTCACAAGGGCAAGAAAGAAGCAATGTCAATCAAAGATGCCACAAGCACCCATTACATCAAACTCTAATGGCAACAAAGATGGCATTGTCATTCATAGCCATTCATGGAGTCGCTCTCAATAAAATTGGTGATTTCTTTCCTTATCTCATCTTTTGTTCTT